AGGGGGTGTTGTGGGCTTGATGGCCGTACGAGCGCCTACGATGAAACAGCCGAGCTGGAGGGTCTGCCCAGAAGTCAGGCTCCTTCTAGAAGTGATATTATCGTTGATGACAAGGCGAGCCATAGACCGATTTTGTTGATAGCACGGAAGATCTCTCAATGATAGCACCAATGTCGGTGTCGAAACTGGCAGATTTCGGGTAGGGGGGCCCAAGCTGTGCGTCTAAGGATCGATGGTAACAATGGACAAAGGCACACAATGTTTACCTAGGTTCGGGCCCTCTTAATGGATGTAAAACCCTACTCCTGCTTGATTATATTCGAAGAGTATAGATGTTACAGGAGTTGATCTACCTCGAGATCGTGGTGACTAAACCCTAGATGTCTAGCCTATGAATATTCCAATGATGGTAATGATGATAGCCTCTACGGACTAAACCCTTCGGTTCATATGCACACTGGAGAGGCCTAGGGTTTGTACAAGGTCGGTTCGCAAAGGGAAGGAAACTACACATCCAGACTGTAATCTTGCCGTTCACGCATGGAGGAGTCCCACCCGGACAAGGAGGATGGTCTTTTGCTTGATCTTCACAGCCCACTCAGTCTGTCCCATATTCCTGGGCCAGTAACTTGAGGACCCCTGAATCCTGGACTCCCTCAGCCGCCCCCCTCCCACCGGCCCGGATTCGCTCCGCCGCGGCCGGTCGCCACCGCGCCGGCGGTTCATACGAAGGGGGCGAAGGCACCACGCAAACGGGCGGTGAATGACGGTCGGAACCTAGCCGAAAGTGCGGCTCGACCGACGAAAACCTTGAAAGCAGCCGCGGCAGCTCGGGCCGACGACTCGCAGCCACGGCCGGCGGCGTCCTCCAGTAGTCAAGGAGCCGTTCCTCCACCTCCGCCGCCACAACTGCCAGCCGTGGAGGAAGATGTGGCCACGCCCACGGCCACCGCCTCCAACATGTTCGATCATATGTCGCAAAGGTAAAAAAAATATTTTGTGCTCTAGTTTGTTGTTTCAAATTGAATGTGATGTTGAATGTTTGTACGTTCAATTCTAGTCTTGATGATGAATCTGTTTTGCACGCGACAAATGTGGCAAATGATGATTATGCGTCGCACGAGTATGTGTTATTAGAATATGCAACCCAATATGGGGATGACAATCTTGACATGGACAATGAGGACTTTATGGCGAAGGGAAGAAGTGGAAACAATTGCAATGCGGAGGATGTGTTGATATGCACCGCACGGAAGAAAGTCTCTCAAGATGCATCCTTTGGAAGCGACCAAACGGTAAACACCTATTGGCAACGCATCAAGGATTACTTCGATGAGCACAACACAAGTGGTCACTTCCGTTCGAGCGACTCTCTTTGCCAATGTTGGTCCACCATCAACGCCGAATGCCAAAATTGGGCCGGTTGCTTGTCAAATGTTGCTCCAATGAACCCAATTGGTTGCGATGATAGTGATGATCGTACCACGGTTCACAATGTGTTTGGCGTTGATGACACTCATTAATGATATCCATGTGCATTTTAATTTGTAGGCTGAAAAACTTTGCTTGGGACATTGCACTTTTGACAGATGGATTTGAAACTATGATGATGATGATGCACTTTTTTTAGGGATCTGAACTATGCATTTTATTTCAAATTTTAAGTGATATTTGACTGCAAAACTGCGGCTGTACAGTGGCTGAACAACAGCCGCGCGGCCGCCGGTCGGTTTTACATCTTCGTTTTGGATCATCTATTGTAGTTGCTCGTTTTTTACATCTCCATCTTGGACCATCTGTTGAAGTTGAGCCTTTTTCGAAGATGTAAAAGACACTTTTTGGTGCTCCATATTTGAACCATCACCGGTTTGAAGCACCAAAATATACATCATCTATTCAGTATACCCAGCGTTTGTTGCTTGACCCGCCACGGCAGGGGGCGGGTTCTGGTTTGTCGACGTTCCCGGAACCAGACGATCTTGTTCATCGTACTGGAGCTGATTTTGGCCTACTGGCCCTGCCATGAAGACCGCCGCATGACGAGGCGGCTCAAAAGATTCCGAGCTGTCCTCATCGTCAGAATACCCTCCTAGCCTTTCATAGAAGAGTGAGACGATTGATACTGTCTCGCCCATGGATGATTCATTGTCAGATTCCACGAGCGTGTTTCATCTCAAAATTGAATCAGGAGTCGGCTCCGGCTCCTAGCGAGTTCCACTGATCAAGCCGACGAAAGCATGTTTCAAGCCGGTTTTCATCCTGCTGGGTCTCGTCTGGCCGAGTTGAAATAGACGGGCCGTCTCAACTTGGTCGGAAGCGTCATGAAAATCGAAAATTGGCTCGCCAATCGCCCTAATGAAGACATGAATCTTGCCGAAGGGGACCCTGTATCCTGACTTGATAGAGTCGTTCTCGGGACCTCAATCCAAGACGTCAATGTAGAGAGCTTTCTGCGGCGACTCTTCATCATCTGGCCGATCACGTCACGTATCCCTCTATCCATGGGAAAATTTTCTCCAAGAACTCAACACCACCGTGCGGTGGCCCCGCAGTGGGCTCCAACTATTGTGGTTTTTTCACGGCAGATGTTCTCGCGTGGGGACTTAGTCGTGAGGTCATTGCAACTAGGCAGTGGCTTAAACGGGGTTTATCGGGAACGAAGGACACAAGTTTACCCAGGTTTGGCCCCTCACGATGGAGGTAAAAGTCTACATCCTGCTTAACTGATATTGCTTGGAGATGTCGATTACAAGGGTGCAGAATCACTAACCTAGCTTTTGAGGGATTGTAAGTTAGTCCTTCCATCTCAGGACTCCCCTTTATATAACAGATTGAGTCCCTAGGCTTACATATATTTCGCGTCATCATATTGTCAATAGGGCTGGACACGAGCCGAGCCGAGCCGAGTTCAGTCCGAGCCTGGCTTTGGCTCGCCTAAAGCGAGCCGAGCTCGGCTCGGCTCGTTGGTTGAACGAGCCTGTTTCTGGAGGCTCGGCTCGTTTTGCCTCTGGCTCGGTCCAGCCCGAACAGCTCGTGTGTGCACTGCTATACTGAACTATACTGAACTTTTGAACAGCCAAACAATGCAACGCATACAGAATTTGGACAGCAACTGCATTTCGAAGCACTCTGTCATCGGCAGCATAGATCAACAGAGAGAAAAGAGTAAAGATTGGGGATGGTCAATGGTGTTCTCGCCTTGGTCACCTACGTTGGCTGGAACGGCGTGGAATGAGTGCTGTTGTAGTCGGTGGAGGCCTGGAGGTCAGCCTCAGATGGGAAGATGTCAAGCGCTGGAGCCAGTAGCTTTACCTTCTCGTTCTTGGTGCGCTCGAAGAGAAACAAGCAGAGGCACGACCGGCGGCGGCTGGTCTGGCGAGTTCCGTGGCGACTCTGTCAGAGCCAAAACCAACGCGCCCAACTTTGGGGGCTCTCGACGAGGCAAGGAGGGATGCGAGGAGAAGGCCAATGAAGGGAAGGGAACGGTGGCAACTTGTGCAGAGACGGCGGCGACTCACGCGGAGAGGACGGTGGGATGGGGGGTGGCGGCGGCGGCGGCGGAAGGCAAAGCCAGTTGCGTACTCGTGAGTTCTCTGGCTTCAGTCGGGGCCTCTGGGATGAGTGGAGATGTTTTTGGGCTGGGCCTCAATCGGTGCACCGAGTTGGACCGGGCCAAACTCGGCTCGGCTCGGTCGGATATCGGGCCTACTTTTCAAACTCGGCTCGCTACAAATACTTCACGGGCCGAGCTGATTCGGGCCGAGCTGAAACGAGCTACGAGCCGAGCTGAAAAGCTCGTTCGTGCGTCCAGCCCTAATTGTCAACATGTATCGTCCTCTAACTCCTATTTATCTTCTTCTCAAAAAAAAAACTCCTATTTATCTTACTCCCCAAGTTAGGAAGTTTTCGTTGGTCTCTTCCTCGTTATATCACCATGTCCTGCAAAATAGGACGGCCCATAGTGCCTTAGGGTATCCGTCCGGGTCATACCCTAAGCTGGGTCTTGGTCCTGGGAAATATCCCCAACAGCACCCCTGGCAGCCTGACCCGCCACTGCTAGGATTTTTTCGCCGGCAACTGCTAGCCATTCCTGCAGTAGTGATATCAGGGGGAGGATGCACGTATCTCACCCCCGGAATAGTTGCTAGCCCTCGTTTGACCTTTTGATCCAGCCAGCAGCGTCGAGACCCGTAATACCAGCGAGCTAGCTGATGAGGATCCGGGGACTCCATTGCCTCACGCATCGCCTGGACGAAAACCCCGATACAAGTCACCCCATTGACTCAATCTATAATTATCCGCCGGATCTCATTAGGCCTTGCATTTATCAACAATTGCAACGCATGCTCCACCAGAGCTTTTGTGCTAGGAAACCAAGAGTGGATCTTGTGCTTCCGCAGTAAAACAGTGTCACCAGCGCAGAATACCTCCAACTGCATCATCATCGCCGACGGCGGCTGTGGGATTGGGGGTGGGGATGGGGGGAGGTGGGCTGCTTGGGCCGCATGGGATGCGGAATATGAGAGAGAGAGAGAGAGAGAGAGAGAGAGAGATTCCGTTCCTTTTTTTAGATAAATGACGCAGCCATCCACCAACCGGTCCCACATGTCAGCATCCCAGGTCATCCCCATGCGTCAGCACCGGCATAGTGATGGTCAAAGGCTTTGACCGGACGGCAAGGCACCGTATGGCCTTTTGTGAGGCGCAGGCGAGTGGAGGAGGGCAAAAGTGAGCACAATTAGATGGGCGGAGGGAAACTGAGTATATATATGTTATATATTTACAAACATGAGGCTAGCAAATGGATGAAGAAACATAAGAGTACAGAACAGAGCATCAAGTAAGGAATTTTTTCATGTACAAAATGGAAAAACAAGGCAGCAAACAGGACTACTGTCTTGTTGTGCTGCTAAATGGATTCCTAAGCCAGAGTCGTATGATCTCACGAAGGAAACAATCCCACCAAAGTCATTAGAGTTGCATGAAGCAGTCCCATCAGACTAGTCAATGCTTTCTTCTTCTTCTTCTTCTTCTTCTTCTTCTTCTTCTGCTTCTCGTTCTTCTTCTTCTTCAAAGGCTGCCAAGTGGATGAACAAACTTAGCAAGAGTAAGTAGTAGATCGTTAATGACGCAAGCATCTTTCTAGATACAAAAATGAAAAGAACAAGGCAACAAATGGGATTGCAGTATTACACATATGAAATCTTTTCTTGGGGATGTGCTCAATCTTTTGCCAGTTTGGATGTCCTACAGTTCGACAAGACTCCAGGAACTCATCATTGCAGAATAGAAGTACAAACTCCTCAAGCGACTGTGGCAGTGTTGGAAGCGACCGGATATAGTGGCAACATCTGATATACAGTTCCTTTAGTGATGTGAGGTGCGCTATATTGCCTGGTAAGGTGTACCAGTCGCAGTGAACAAGACAGAGCAAACGAAGATGACGGAAAGCCTCAAGTCCAGGAAAACATCCGAGTTGGCCGCATTCCAAGAAAAGAAGGTTTTGCAGGTCCTTTGGGGTACCATTCCAGTATGGGTACCTCGTACCATTGTAGCGTTCGATAAATAGTGTTTCAAGCCCAGCGGGAGGGCACATGCCTTCAAGTACATCTGCTTCAACTTCTGGACTGCACCTTGTACCATCATCACCATCCCATGACAATGTCAGTTTAGTGAGCCGTTCCTTGGCAGCTAGATTTGCTTCAAGAGCTTCCTCCATGCTTTTAACATTTTCAAGGCCATAGATATGCAGGCTGCCGCTGAGCTTGTTTAGGTCCCTTAGTTGATTTACCCCACACCCTTTTTCATTCCTTACTGTGAAGCCTGGTATCGTTCGGAGTGAGATCAGGCTGCCTATGTTACGAAATTTTACATATCGCGAACAGAACACGTGCCGCAGGTTGATAAGGCCAGGTAAGGCAAATTCCCAAGGTTCTCCATGAAAATCTAGCAGCTGGATATGGTGAAGTTTAGTTAGCGCCCATGGTAAATATACCGTACATCTCAAATTTGTCGTCAAAGCAAGATAGCGTAGGTGCTTTAAATGACTAATGGACTCTGAGATCGAGAACTTAATAGGTTGTTCGAGTGGATCATATTCCAGGCTGAGTTCAACGGCCAATACCCGCAATTTCGGTAGCCTCTTGCATATATTCTCAAAGAATTTTACCTCAACTGGTCTACTCCTTTGAACACGATAAATAATGAGAGTGCGTAAACATTCCAATCCAAGGATCTTCTTAATAATCAATTCTCCATCATAATTCTGAACAACAAGATGGCGGACATCTCTTGGAACAACTCCTTTCCAACCTTCTCCTGTATCACTCTCTGCATTCTCGATTATGAAGTAGTCCCTTCCAGTGATTTTGTCCAATAAATCATGCATCAGATCATGAATTCTGAATTGGTCGGTCTTTAGAAAATCATCAATCGAGCCTTTTTCTAGCTGCAGAAATGAGCACGACACTAACTCTTGAACATAGCCCTCAGCTACATCTTCCATGTCCTCTGTTGCACAGCTGGTCTTTAAAAACCCTTGTGCAATCCAAAGATGAATTAACTCGGCCCTTGTCAACATCGATCTTCTGGGGAAAATATGGCAGTACTCTAAGCATCGCTTGATGTCCGGATTAAGCTGCTGATAACTCCAGAAAAGAGAACCCATGGTGTCATTCAACAAGTCAAGATTTGCAGTGTTTTTCCAAAAGAGGATATCTGGGTGTGCCCTAAGCTGTCCTGCCACTGTTACAGCCGCAATAGGTGATCTATGTAGCTTTTTTGCAATCACCCCCGCGACTGGTACAAATTCCTCTTCAACGACATTTGTACCACCCAATGCGTAATGCATGAACATCAACAAGTATCCATCCTCATCTAAATCAGGCATTCTAATAGGTTCATCAGTGCATAGAGTTCTAGCTGCAACTTTTGTTCGAGCCGTCACCAAAATTTTGCTTCCTTTCATCCCAACATTGAGCGGAGAGATTAGTTCCTCCAGCTGTGGATCGTTCCTTGTCTTCACCCAGATATCATCCAATATCAAGAAGAAACGTTTGCCACTCAATGATTTCTTCAACTTCTCTTCCAGCTCCTCATGATCTGAAATATTGGAGTGCCGATCTTTGGTAATATCCCTCAGCATATCATGAAATATGTCATCCACACTAAAAGTCTCAGACATATGAATACACATGATGGTGTCAAAAAGTTCCTCCTCCTTGCATTCCTCCTCTATGTAATCTCGAGTATATCGTGCAAAGGTAGTCTTCCCGGACCCTGCGATGCCATATATGCCAATCACCGAGTAGCATGGTCTAGTGCTCGAGCTGGGTGGTGTCTCACGGAGTTTAGCCATGATATCCTCACGCAATGCCTCCCGACCAAATACCTTCCGTTTGCTAGCAGTTCTAATTTTGCTCCTGTTCTTGTTGGCCGTATCACTCAGTGTGTTCTTGCTTCCCGCTCCCAAGAGTGATGACTTCTTCACTTCGCTAACCATGCTTTCTACCTTCTCTATTTTTTTCTTCAAGTTCCGTCTTGAAATAATAGTAAGGACAGAATCTAATGCGGTGGCATTCTCCTGCACGAAGCAAATTCTCAAATGAATATGCCAGTCATATGTCTATTCTATCTATTAGAGGTAGGTGACTATAATGTATACCAGATGCGATATCTTTGGTGAAAAAAATATGGGAAAATAGACATGCAGAAAGAACATTCAGATGTCATTCATAGAAGAAAACTGACCATGAGGGAAAAAATATTAGCACAAACAACATACATGAAATATATGATAATGATAACTAATATCATTTATGATCCAAATCTGAAGTGTTGTGCACAACATAGTATTACAACGCAAATCGACAATTTTGTAACTTACGTCAGGTAAGACAGATCAGTGGGCCATGAGATTCTCTTATAAACCATTCGTCAAATTGGCAATCATGCAGGTTATCAATCAAATGTATTCAATTGTCAAATACAAGTTCGTAGCATGTGTTGTTTTATTTCCCTTTTTGACATCAATGACTTATGTGAAATAAGATAATTACACTGATTATAATTTTGCCCCACAACATATCTCCCAGAAATAACAAAAAAATAGAAAAAGGAATATCCTGACACATGTTCATAGAGACAGAGAGCATATGAGATGAGGAGTGGGCGATGAAATTGGGGTACCTGGTAATCTGTGATGCCAACCACGTCATAGGAGCACCCCTGATAAGTGTGAGCGGCCTTAATTGCATGACCTGTCAAATATAATATGGACCTACAACAGTTCTTGAAGAAGTTGAAGAAGTTGCACCACCAAGAGAGCCCCCACCCAATGGAATCAGAGGATGCAGTCGCCGGAACTGCTTGTTCATCTAAGACCGCACCCTCAGTGAAATCTAAGGAGCTCGACTCTGAATTCGAGGGTGCAATCACCGGAACTCTTAATTCGTCTGAAACAGCAACATTGGTAGGCTCTGGAACTGATTCTTGTGAGGCAGCACCCACCGAGTTATGCGGGACAGGGTCGTCTGAGGGGACATCATTTGTAGCCGCCAGAACCGGTCCATGGGAGGCCGCAACACTGGTAGTAAGGGGAACTGGTCCATCCGAGGCCACAGAACTGGTAATCACTGGCACGGTCTCATGGGAGGGCGCAACAGTATTGGTTGTCCGAGGGAGTACATCCTCTTGCCTCCACAAGGAGATGTTCCGCGCCCGCCGCAGTAGCCGAGCTGATCCGCTCCTGAAGCTCTTGTTGAAGTGAGTAATGCAGGTGGCCACAGCACTGGCAGCCACGTGAAGTACATCCTCTGATTTTCTCCTGATGATGAATGCATTTCTCCGGATGATGGGTGCGATACTCCGGTTGAATCGAGCCGATCCCCTCCGGACGATGCGTGCAATCACCAGACAGCTCCTATTGAAGCGGTCAATGTCGTTCTGCACTATGAGGCAGAGACGACGCCAAAATCTGAAGCGGTACAACTCGATGTCCTGGTGATCATCCAAGATGTCTTCCGCATCCTCCCGAGCGTGCCTCAGCATGGCCGCCATCTTGTCCAGGGCCGCCACGTCGGATTTCCTTCTCATCTCATCTCCTCTCTTTATCATCCTCTCTTGATAAACGGCCTGCAGCATCTTCTCTAGCTCCGGCATGATATGGATCTCCAGCTCCCGGAGCTTCTTGGACACGTCGCAGCTGAGCCAGGAAGGGATCTTGGGAACGAAAAAGTTGAGGGTGGGCGCCACGAACCAGCCAAGGACGGCCATGCCCCAGCCAATAGAGGCAATAACATAGGTAGTCGCCATGGGTTGTGCTGCGCGGTGCTGTGGAGACGAAGGGCACGATGCTGTGTCCTTTTCTTCTTTTTTCCTAGCAAGGGGCGAGGTAGAGAGTGAGGGAGATCAGAGGCGATGTTTTAACTTTCATTTTGGCTAGGTCGTCCCTCGTCGGAAGAAGCACGCGTTCCCAGCCTCCGATGTCAATGGGTGCCGTATGCTGGCCGGCTGGCTCACCAACCACTCGACACCTATTTTTGCTCCAACATACTACCTCCGTCCTGGTTTATTGATCCTTATTACATTTCAGGCGAAATTTCGATCATAGATTTAACAAACAAAATGTCTATGCATGTCATAAAAAATTATGTCACTCAAAATTATGTTCAAGTATGAATCATATGATATAATATTCGTTGACATGCATTGATATTTTGTTAGTTAAAATTTTGATCAAAATTTAACACAAATTACAAAGGGACCGATAAACGAGGACGGAGGTAGTACATGCCTATTAATTCAAAGATAGATGGAGGTCGGCATGTGGATGTGTGCAGACCAATCTCAACCACGCCCATGACTCTACCAGCACCGAACACCGCGTACAAGTCTAGTCTCCGCTGCATTATTCTAATTCAACATTTCTGATTTTCACACCACTAGCAAACACCACAAGACTCAGTGGAATGGATTTGACTTCCGACGTCGACGTTTTTTTCTTATTTTTTTGAAATAGAAGAAGAAGAATAGGTGATACATAAACCAGATATAAAATTGTAAAGGATTATGTTTTTGTAATAATTTTAAATTTCCCTCCCCATGAACGTGTGTCTCTCTCCTTTCTCGTCCAATTGTTCCTTAAGGCATCTCCAACAACAACCTGCAAAAAGCATTCTACATTCGTCTCTGGACAGAGGAGACCAGTCCACGGACACAGATGCAAAAAAAAAACGACATCCAACGCTAGCCATATACATCCGGCCAACAACTCAAACCAATCGGACGAAATTCGTGCAAACTAGGCGAATTTTGATATAAGCACGATGGATTTCATATAAACAAGTCCGGATTTCATATAGACATTAAAGATTTCATATAAACATGATGGATTTCATTATATTTGGGACATAGTTCTATTGTAAATCTAAACAAGATCGCCGGCACCCGGTCCCATCTCCAGCCACCAGCCCCAAGAACTGAACCTTCACCCGTCTCTAGTTCCTCCTCGGCGCTCTCCAACTCCGCCCCCATAATCTCCCCGCCTCCGGAGCTTCGGGAACTGAAGTTGTCCGCCTCCACGTCACCACCAAGCGACTAATTGGCCGAAGATGCTCGACCCACCAAGCTTAGCATAGAAGGGAGGGGGAGCGGTGGCCTTCATTGGACTGGAGCGGCAGCGACCTACAGTGCACTACTCTTCCTTACTGCCGGGGGCACCCTTGGACGTGCCGGCTTTGTGGTCATGGCGGCGGCGCTCGGCGGAGCCAGCGATGACCTCCTCCTCGTCGTCGGTGAAGCCGAAGAGCTCCTCGCCAGTGTCGTCGCTCTCCTTGTAGGTGGCAGCCACCTCCGCCACCCGGTGAAGTCGAGCAACGCTCCTGCTCGGCCACGTCCATGTCTGGTGTGATCGCCCTGTCGGTCTGCTCCTTCCACTTCGCGGAGGCGTCCTCCATCTGCACGTCATCGTCGAAGGCATCCTTTGGCTGCACGTCAGCCTGCCGGCCGGATGCAATTCCGGTCATCTCTATCTTATGCTTCGGCGTTAGCCCATCCCAGAGAGCTTTGGTGGAGGAGGGATACATGGCGGGGAGGGATGCATAGATGGATGGTTGTGCCTACGGCAGAGGCAGCGGTTCATATAGCACCTGTGGGCGGTAGAGGGATGGACGGGTGGCGCCGAAGGAGACGCCTCTGCAACCGCGTGCCATCAATGCGAGCGGCAGATAGACAGACAGTCGGCCATCGTGTCGGCTGAACACATGGCAGTTGCTTGCACCAGGAAGCGGCACGGGCGGCGCCCTGTCAGCCGGCTCACCGCTTTAATACAGGCGCCATTGAGCGGTCATGTCCGTTTTGGCCCGGCATGAATGCGGGGCTAACCAGCCGATCATTTTGGGCGGGAACGTGAGCTCCCGCGGGAAGAGGTGTTTTGGTGGGTCATGGCGGTCAGAAGCGGACTTGGTATCCGTCAAGACGCCCGCAAACCTTCCCCACATTTGTCTCTGGTTTGTGGGCAAAAACATGTCCGGACTACTCCGCGGACCGTTATAGGACCGCATTGAATGGCTTCCGTGGTCCGGACAGCGCGATCTGGATGGTTGCGGGAGGTTTGCGGGTCCGCCTTTGAGATGCCCTTATCCCTGCATCTCACACCCCGCATCTTTCCCCCTGTCTGCTCTCAGCCGCACCGCTTGCTCTCCCTCGCTGCACCCAACAATGCAGCACTGGTTGTGGCGGCGTGCAACAACAGGTCGTCGTCGTCGCGGATGTGACGCCATCGTCACCGCCACCGTCCAAGAAAATCGGGGAGGCCCATTGTAGCGTCGTCGAGTACAGTAGTACCAAACACCGGTGTTGGTTGCTGCATCATGTAGTGACCATCGTAGCATCTCCGGTGGGCATCTGGTCGCCATCGTTGTGTCACTGGGCTTCGTCGTACCAACCCCGGTGGCCAGTTGTAGCTCCGCCATGACCCGGTTGCAGCTCTATCGCCTCTTGTTGCAGCTTTTGCCGACGACGGCCGTAGTATGGGTCGCCACCATATGCAGCTCCGTCGGGGATGGTTGAAGCACGGGTCATCACTGGTTGCACGGTCGCAGCATGGGTCGCCACGTACGGTTGCAGCTTCGTTGTACAGAGTTAGTAGCATCCATGGGCGCAGGCGTAGCTCGGGTGCGGACGGCCGCAACTCTGCAGACAGCTGGTTGCAACTCTGTGTGCTGCTTGTTGAAGCTCAGATACGGACGGCCACATCACCGCGTGCAGCTCCACTGACTGACGGTCGTGCACCGCCTGTCGCAATGCCGATTAGGAGGCTCAAGCAATAAATCAACGGTTTCACCAATCCCTCTCTATCCCTTCTAACATGTTAGAAGGGATAGAGGGAAATTGGTGGAATCAATTGTTTATTGGTCGAGCCTCGTGGGCATATATATAGGAGTACAATGACCAACTTGGAGTACAAGACATGCCAGGACCAAATCCTAGTCTATCATAT